ATAGATTCCAAGTCATCCCAATAACACGAACTAATAAGTCATGACACGTTATTGCTTTAAGATAAGAGTAAGTATATAATGCATCCCAGGATATCATTCTTCTTCCAAAAATACGGGCAGTGGCCGTTTTTCGAAAAATATGTTAGAAACGTGTAAATCTGACGCCAGTTAACAAAATGGAAATGTTCACTGCTCATAATGCATGTAAATGACAAACTTGTTTGTGTTGAGGCAGTTACAGAAGTATCTTCAGCTAAAAAGGACCGCAAGGATATACTTTATCCTCTACAAATGTAAAAGTGTAAGATATATTTTTGAATACCAAAACAATTTCAATGTTTCCATAGTTGTTTTTTTTCATTTTGCAGCTATCTACAGTAAGATAAATGTATCAAATCCTGTTGTCGCCAGAGCGCCTTTGGTAAATTTGGTCTGCCTAAAATTGCATCTCTTATTTGCTACCAAGGAAGAAACTAGTGGCACATGCATCACATTAGTAGCTGGCGCTTTCGTGAAAATATGCACGTTTCGGTTCGCAAGGTTTAAAATGAATGCATTTCAAATTGCAAGGAAAATGTACTTATATAACAACTTGACCTCAAACTAGCATTCTAGATATAACATTTTTGTCACGTGACAAAATCAATTATTTGTTTTGAGTGTATGATAATACATAGGACTGCTGAAGTGATGCCGATTTAACATGATATGAAGGCACTATCCAATTTATATTTAGACACGGTAGAGGCATAACTAAATTGTATTTATGAGAGTTGACTAAAGTGGACTGGCGCCTCTTAACATGAATGTTTTCTCTTCTGCTTATGTCGGAGGAATCTTCCTCGAATGCGTGTAGCTTATCCTATTGCTTCCAGAAAAGTGTAAGTACATTCGTTTTATCCAAATTGCACTTTCGATTCGAAAATACACGAAACGTTGGAAACAACAATTTTGCCTTCAGGTTACTAGAAAAACAATATCAAGTGGAATATTAAGCTGTTGTGCAGTGTCAGGTGTTAAACTTACAAACTTGATTCTGAATCCGAAGCTGATGTTTCTGAAAGCGGTGTGTCCTCTGGATTTAGACCAATCATTTCTTTCGCATCTTCAGTCAAAGACCTTGAAGGCAGGTTGTCAGCCTGTTCTGTGTCTTTTATCACTTTGTCTGCTGCATCACTGATGAAAGAACAGCGCTACCTTAATGCTCTCAGAAAAGAGTACATACATAAAAGTTATATCACGATAAAACTTTCCTTTCCAAAGTTTACAAAGCGACCTGCCGTTTCAGTATGTTTTAAATAACTAAGACTATTTTCCCCTTAACCACGTAACATATATCTACTGAATTTGAACAAGTTCTACAGTATGACTACATATATTCACTGAACATTAGTAGGTTGTGCAGCATCAACTATCAATCAATCAACTCACAAAAATATATCGGAATCGGAATCGGAATCAGATCTATTTGTAAGTGCCGTGTCTTTCGGATTTGCAGCAATCATATCTTTCACATCTTCATCACGGATGTTGACAGTTGCTGGCTCACTGCAAACGTCTAAACTGCAGCTAGGAGCATCCTTCCCTATACCATGCAAGAAATCCATGAACATCGTCTTCACATTTTCTTGATCTTGCATCATTCTGTCTCTGTCTTCCTCAGTATCATGTAGAAATTCCACAACTAGACATGACTCATTGTGCGTCTTCTCGAATTTACTGCGATACCATTCCTCCAATTTATCAATGAGCTCGAAGAAAGTAGGGCACTCCATCAGAATGAGTTTAATCAGTCCGTGTGGAACATCCTTAAAAGTCCACTTGGACCTGAAAGGCCGTTCCTGTCCATCATAGTGTCTATAGCAGCAGTAAGTCATCTGGTTCGTGGTACATTCAACTGTTAAGATTAAACATATCAAATGCGATTAGAATAAGAACACAATCATTGGTTCTAGTGTTTGTGATCACATGAATGAAGTGGATAATAAACTTCATTACATTGCGTAAGTACATCATTTGTGTTAATCGTTACACATTTGGCATGTTTGTTTTGGGAACATTTATTCTCAGTGATCGAGAAAGTGTCTGACTATAGTGGTCACTTGTTACATATTTCTTGCCACATTGATCAAGGCATAATCCATTAATGTATTGTCATTCTGTTTTTGTCATTCAACATTAAAGGTCACATGCCGTTACGTAAAACACAACTTTGCAGATTCTGATACCTTTCGGTATGGACTTGCCGAAACAAATCGTCAAAAATGCAAATTCAACTTATAAAGTTGAAAAATAACGCGATGACAAAAACCGCTCGAAATCGGAGTTTAAACGATTCACCAATTTTCCCCAGACTTTTCGGGAAAAACTAGTTTCAACAGCTGGGCTGCGCTCATAGCACGGGCGCAGTGAAAAAGGTTCACGCAACTTGGAAGCGGGCTGTCCAATGAATACTCGGTGAAGGCTTTGGTGTGAGCTATTTTCCTAATTTTTTGTTGATATTTCACAGGCTCGAGCTTTTTATATGTTATGACAGTAAATAAACTGTTTATATAATTTCATTTGTCTATTTCACCACACCTTCTTCTTATCGAGTCACTTTCTCAGTTCGATACTTAAAAGCAATGTTATTATTTAGCGTTGACAGGATTTCTAACTGTGATATAGATATGTCGTTGTCACAGACAAAACTCAATGTCTGTTTATTGACACCTGTGTGTCTGCCTGCCTGTCTGCTAATGACAATATTCAATACACAACTGCGATCACTGACCACATGCAATTTGAACTGGACACCAATCAGGTTATACACCATAAACAAAACGCATTGATTTATGGCCCGAGTTCGGTCTCTGTCACATTATGTAATTACACAGACAGGCAGGTGTGATACTTGAACACACGAGATGTTATGATGTCTGTTGATTGCAAAATGTTATACACAAGAAATGAGCATGTATTTACAAAACTCAACATTTCTATATATACACACACAATGAGTCGTGAGGGCATCTGCAAATGAACCAGCCGTTACACTTGAGTGCACACCCACCCGCTCTGACTGGGTTCGGTATCCCGGCTGCTTCGTTTCTTGGGAAGTAAACCCAAGTACACAATATTGCACTTTTGATTTGCGATTGTACGCTCATAATTTTGTTTATATGTTTTTTTCATAACCAGCAATGTATATTATATGTCATGAATAAGTGATAATTGTGTTTTAATTATGTTTGATTTTTTGGTTGCATGTGACCTTTAAGATCTGCTGATAACATAAATCTACATACACACGTGTCCCATTTCCTCTCTGAAATAACTATACACCACCAATGAATTTGATAAGCTTTCAGCCCATGAAAGAGTGATGCTTACCATGCATGATTGTTTCACCTTTTTTAGCAGGAACTGAAAATAGATGACCGTTTTATTTCCTAATGCAGTTGTAAATCGTATCATATGGTAATATTTGAAATATATATTCAATTATATTCAAAATATGTTTGAGGTAAGATATCTTCCTAATGATTTGCAATGGTTCTATAAATGACGAAACACTGGTAATCTTATCGGAAGTATCTCTAATCGCCATGAAAACTATTACTCACCTGAAATGTCTATTTTTGGTTCGGCTCCTTTAACATAATTAATTGATGGGACGTCTTTGGGCCGTTCTTCTGAAACAAAACAAATGCATCAATGTGCTTTAATGTTATATGTGTTGACATGTGTAATAATGAGAAATGCGACGCTGGCAGTATTCCACTGATTAGTATAGACCAACATTTTTCCCTTAACATCACTTGACGTGTATTTCATACCTTTGTATACGAGTTGTTCGATATTAATACCACTTGTACGGTTATTTTTGACATCGCTGTTTACCGACCCTTTCACATCTATGTTCAAGGGAGCATCTGAAAAACACAAATGCATTACCACGGGATGTTAGGAAAACTGATGATACTGAAGGAAAGTACCGAAACGCTTACTAAACTAAATTCAACCTTTGTGTTTTTCTTCATATACACAACCTAATTATGGCGGACGACTATGCAGTCCGGTTAAACGCCCCAACGGATAATTAGTCATTATTTGACAATTAGATCAGAGGGCGCATGCACCATGTACTTTGAGACTACACGACGTCATTTGACATCACGATATCTTACTGAGCTTGTCTCTTGGAGACGTGAATGCCTCTTCTGTAGAGAGACGCGGAGGACTATCATCGTTCTTACTGTCGTCGGTGCTGACATCACACGTGTCTACGTCCATCTTCGTTATCCGTGACATCATCTAGACGACACGAGATACTCCTTTAGATCACCACAGGTATATCAAGACAGAAGTTAGAGTGCTATATTAAGTGATATTTCCTTGATAATTCACCCATGAAAATTAGTACATGATTATAAGTCTATTTACCACATGCCTTCGTCACACTTGACATAAACCAACGCATAGATTGCTCGCTCACTTGTCCAGTGCTTACTCAATATGTAAATAACGATTGTCTAATAAATCTTCTTCAAAATGTCACCCTAAAGCTAATGCTCTTTATGCAAACTTTACAATAGAAGCTTTCATGTTACATTGCTCAATACTGTAGATTAGTCTGTACATATCTTCAACTTAAATGCTGTATATATATGCTATACATATGTTGCTAAGGTAATCACCGAGTATGTGTATGTATACAAGTGATTTCTGCAGGTGTATAAGCAATAAGTATATAAAACATGAGATATTTCTTCTTGTCAAATCTCCTTTATATCTGCACAAGATCTTTCGCCGTTCAACGGCTCTTCGGGTGTACAATGAAAGCTTGTACAAATACAAATACAGGTGTACAAATACAGCTTTCATTGTATATATATATATATGTATATGTATAGATAGATAGATAGATAGATAGATAATGCACTCAATATTGAACTTGGGCGTGTGGCCTTTTAACTGTATAAATTATTCAATAGTTACCGTCCCGTACACTCACCCACCTCTTTTATTCCCTTTAACATGATCCCAGGCATCTAGAGGTGGAAAACAAGAAAGCAATGGCCATGTATTCAGTCAGATACAGCTACACATGCATACACACCGACACGCTTGTAGGCAGTTGAACGTTAACAATACCATGTATGCATACTATGAATAGCATGTACTCTGTCTCCATTTAAGATTACCCGTAATTATCGCCCTCACGTGTCAAACTAATGATTCTCTGCATATAAACTTGCTGTACATTTATATTACATTTAGATAACGATCATATCCCTGAGATTAGATTGTATCGTTCACTCTCATGCATGGGTACTGTGTTATATGGGTTCAATATCTACAGTCAACAATGTTACTGGTACACCGGGTAGGGGGAAACCGAAACTAGGGGATTCCCCTCTTGAATTATAATTGGACATTTTCTAACAACAGAGCGATCAAAATAAACTCTGACACTCGAGGAAACTGTCACCGGAAATATTGAACATGACCCGTAGTATGGTACTAGAGGGAGGAGTTGCATGGCCAGGATTGACAGAAATATACATGCAATGCACATATAGTAATCAACTTCCGTATAATACACATTATCTATTTCTTTTCAAAGCAGATCAAGCCTACCCCTGACGATTTACTCACCTAATTGTTGTCAAATTGTTCCCTCAAATCATTCCAGGATATGTAACACGTCTAAAAATACAGAACTCTGTATCAAGACATGGTAGGAGATCGCTGGGAGTCGCTTGGAGCCGTCACACCTACAGTTGCGGCTATGTGCTCTGACGTCATACAACCGGTGTTGTATAACAATGCGTGTCCTGCACCGATATGCACAACATTACTGTTTGCATGTTGTGTGGGTAAATGAGAGAATATGCTACGGCGGTGTATACTAGAAATGGGACTCGATGTATGTATGTGGAGAATCGAACTCGAGTATTTGCCGTCACCCAGCCCTGTCCTGAGAATCGAACTCTGAGTCTTTGCCGTCACTGTCTGTCTGCCTGTCTGTCTGTCTGTCTGTCTGTCTGTCCGTCCGTATGTATGTCTGTCTGTCTGTATGTCTGCATGTCTGCCTGCCTGCATGCCTGTCTATATGTCTGTCTGTCTGTCTGCATGTCTGTCTGTCTATATGCCTGTCTGTCTGTCTGCATGTATGTTTGTCTGTCTGTCTGTCTGTCTTTTTATGTATGTATGTATGTATGTATGTATGTATGTATGTATGTATGTATGTATGTATGTATGTATGTATGTATGTATGTATGTATGTATGTATGTATGTATGTATGTATGTATGTATGTATGTATGTATGTATGTATGTATGTATGTATGTATGTATGTATGTATGACACGAACACATGTGCTGTTAGGTACAAAAACAACATTCAACCCCTCACTCATTTATGCACTGAAGGCAAGAATGACTTTTGACATTGCAATTTAACGCTTACTGTCATACATGGTTAGACCACAAAGAGCGTCACAGTATTGCTCGTGGTCAGGACTTGTATCCGTGATCGGGACTTGTATGTAGACTTGTAGAAACCCTCGGGTATTCGTCGAGGACATAGTACAGTGGTCACTTGGGATCACGTTGTCGTAGGTAAGATTAAATTCGTTATATTTCAAGGTACTGAATGAGTTGGATTTGGGGCGCTTTTAGTAACATTCCTGTGGTGGACAGCAGGAATCGGCTTCACATACTGTACCCAGTGGTTGAAGGTACAGGGGTATTTGTTTGGAACAGGTACATGGCGTTCTTCTTGAAGTCACACCAGGCATATATGATACATCTCAAGCGGTTTTAATGTTTTAAGCGCAAGTGGTACCGTTTGAATATGCTGTTATGCCCTAAGAAAACGTTATGGCATTTTGTGTGAATACTCTACCTACAACTAATATTACGAAATGAAATATTACCCTTTTCAAATCCCTAGCTCTCTGTCACCCATTGTATTCAGTTCAGCTCATTGCACATTCCGACCTTCAAAACGTTTCAGCCGCGGCGTAAACACGTTTGTTAACAGCTGCATAAAAGGCCTGAATGGGATCACGAGTGAAAAGGTGTGATTGCGTTGTTGGTAATCAGTCAGGTGCACTATGTTGAGTCGTTGTTGTGGTTTTTAAGGACAAAGTCAGTGGTGTAGAGTATCCCAGCATAGCAGCATGGTTTAGACAGGCAAACTGTAGAGCAGCTAGGGTTGCGCAACAGAGAAAAACTACCAGTCTTTCTATATGCGAGCAAGGCGAGCACAGGCTGGCAACGTACATCCCTCGCTTTGGTTCGAAAAATATTGTTAACGTCATGATATAATATCGCCACCATGAAAGGTAGACACCCAACCAACCCCACCCACGCTATTTCAGATACTGGTTCGGTTTGGATGTTGTTTAAGACCGCATTTCAATATTCCATCTTTATGGTGGCGGGCTGTAAGTAATCAAGTCTGGAGCAGACAATCCAGTGATCAACATCATGAGCACCGAAGTACGCAATTCTGATACGATGACATGTGTCAACCAAGTCAGCGAGTCTGACCACCCGTTAGTCGCCCGTTACGACAAGCATGGGTTGCTGAAGACCACTTCTATCCGGATGTTCAGACAATAACTACTTCCCCTAAAGCAGTTCTGTGTTTAGACGGAAGCTGATAATACCTGTACAACTATGGGTTTTCATTTTCAGGGTGTGACAGATCTGAACGGTTTTATATTCAGCCTAAACATGAAGTGATACAGCACCGAACGGGAGGTAAGTGGTTGTAGACAAGAGATAATATACTACGTGAATGGTAAAAATGTCCTATCTTACATACCAGCAGCACAGAGTCTGAGAAGTGAAGCGTGTTAAGGTCCATGCTAGGATTAATTACTTTATGGATTGACTCTGGTGAATTTTTTTTATTTCCTGAAAAAGCGATATGTAATCTGTATGAATCCACACAAATGAGATATCTACAATAGTTTTACTAAAAACAACCATATAAATTAACCCAGACAGAAATTACGACATTGATAAACATTTCAGGCGAAGGAATACATTCTTTGGTGTAACGTATTAGGTAATGATTTAATTTATGCATATAGCTTGACACGCCCACAAAGTCAGTAGCCAATCAACAGGAAGGTATATAAAATCAAAAGTTCTCAGGATTTGTCACTCACGGAAAGGGGCGGGAAGAAGAACATCTGTCAGACTGTAACGAACCGGAACACGTATGTCAGGAGTACGCGGTTCTTTAAATGAGATTTAAGCTGTGGTTTTCTTAGAACTTGTACATGTTACATGGAATGTGGGAAAACAGGAAGTTCGCGTAGTCCCTAAAAGAGTCAGTGATTTCGTGAAATTACTGCGACCCTCAGGTAGTTTATGTATTCACTAAAATTCCAAGGGATTTCATGAAATTACTGAAATATAGGCTCAAAGATTTCATGAAACCCCTATCTGCCTTTATAGAAATTGAAGGGAGTAATAAGCAAAGAGTGGCATCAGTAAATTGTCAGAGTTTATAACTCCTAAGAATTGACGGATAAAATGAGACTCAACAGTAAATTGTTGTAAAGTTTTATCAAACGTTTTAAGCTACAAACATTAAGTTCACACATTTACTGATATCCTAACAGGAATGTATGTAATTGAACACCATGAAAATCAGCAATTTCATGAAATCTCTTGAAATTTTAGGGAATAAATGAAATCCCTGGAGGAGGGGAAGGGGGCGACTATCGAGATGAGTGGGCACTCTCGATGACTTGGTCATCGTATCCCATTTACGTAGATCGATGCTCATGCTGTTGATCCCTGGATTGTCTGGGCTAGACTCCATTATTTGTAGACCGCCGTCATACTGATGGAGTATTGCTGGGCGAGACGCTAAACAAACAAGCAAACAAACAAAATCTGTGTGGGCCAGCTGAGCGAAACAAAAAACATTTCATTCCTTTCCGGCTTCTTTTAGGTATCGATGGTCGTTTCCACCATCCTGAATATTTGTGAACATAGCTAAAATGTCCTGTGCATCAATGACACGTGTAAACAGAAGACAATTCCCGCGAGAGTAAATTGGATACTCCGAGAAACGTGGTGGAAGTAGCGTCGATAGGGGGTGGCATATGTTTTTTACATTCCTTGGGAAATGAATCCCATAACACGTGACCAATTCACCAATCAGAATGCATGATTACAATGAACATGTAATTATTCACGTGTTTGAATATGGTTTCCTGTGTAAACTTTGACTGTAAGCTTGCTTGTTTCTTTCCTTGGTGTTTAACGCAGCACACAGCAATACCCGAGCTATATGGCGGCGGTCTGTAAATAACAGATACTCCAATATTATGAGCATCGATCTACGAAACTGGATACCATAAGATGCATCAGCGAGTCTGACGACTCTTACGACAAGCACGGCTTTATATTGTGTATTGTTAACGAAAAAGACTGACATGTTTCAGTGTAACAATGTACGTAATTTCCTCCTCTGTCAGTCGTTGATTGCTTGTTCACAATAAGAACAAGCGGCAACTTTGGACAATTTTGAAATTATTAGATAATGAGAAATATGTTTCATCACATCAGACTCTTGTCTTTAGAAGTGATGACTCTTGTCATTAGACTCGTGTCTCAGTGGGATCGAGTGGAATTCAGGATAGACTGTGTGACCTTTTAGAGGATCCCGGTGTGTGTGTGTGTGTGTGTGTGTGTGTGTGTGTGTGTGTTCAGTGGTCTATGAGAGGGATCCAGGGGTTGGTCAGTGTTCTGTTAGAAGGATCCAAGGGTTGGTCAGTAGCCTGTCAGTGGATCCAGGGATGTTCAGTGGTCTGTCAGAGGGATTTCGGTGATGTTCAGTGGTCTGTCAGAAAGATTCCGGTGATGTTCAGTCGTCTGTCAGAGGGATGCAGGTGATGTTCATTGGTCTGTCAGAGGGATCCAAGTGATGTTCATTGGTCTGTCAGAGTGATCCAAGTGATGTTCAGTGGTCTGTCAGAAGGATGCAGCTGATGTTCAATGGTCTGTCAGAGGGATCCAGGTGATGTTCATTGGTCTGTCAGAGTGATCCAAGTGATGTTCAGTGGTCTGTCAGAAAGATTCCGGTGATGTTCAGTCGTCTGTCAGAGGGATGCAGGTGATGTTCATTGGTCTGTCAGAGGGATCCAAGTGATGTTCATTGGTCTGTCAGAGTGATCCAAGTGATGTTCAGTGGTCTGTCAGAAGGATGCAGCTGATGTTCAATGGTCTGTCAGAGGGATCCAGGTGATCTTCAGTGGTCGGTCAGAGGGATTCCAAGTCATGTTCAGTGGTCTGTCAGAGGTATCCAAGGGTTGGTCAGTGGTCTGTCCGAGGGATCCAGATTATGTTCAGTGTTCTGTCAGAGGGATCCAGGGGTTGGTCAGTGGTTTGTCAGAAGGATCCAGGGATAGTCAGTTTTCTGTCAGAGGGATCCGGGGTTAATCAGAGGGATCCAGATGATGTTCAGTGGTCTGTCACTTGTATCCAGGGGTTCGTCAGTGGTCTGTCAGGGGGATCCAGATTATGTTCACTGTTTTCTCAGGGGATCCAGGGATGTTCAGTGGTCTGTCAGAGGGATCCAGATGATGTTCCAGTTTTGTCATAGGGATCCAGATGATGTGCAGTGTTCTGTCGGAGGGTTCCAGGATTGTTGAGTGTTCTGTTAGAGGTATCCATGGGTTGGTCAGTGGTCTGTCAGAGGGATTCCGGTATTCAGTGGTCTGTCAGAGGGATCCAAGTGATGTTCAGTGGTC